GATCAAGGCAACGTACATTACATAATAAAGAAATATATATATACAGTGGGGCAAAAAAGTATTTAGTCAGCCACCAATTGTGCAAGTTCTCCCACTTAAAAAGATGAGAGAGGCCTGTAATTTTCATCATAGGTATACCTCAACTATGAGAGACGAAATGAGAAAAAAATATCCAGAAAATCACATTGTAGGATTTTTAAAGAATTAATTGGTAAATTCCTCGGTAAAATAAGTATTTGGTCACCTACAAACAAGCAAGATTTCTGGCTCTCACAGACTTGTAACTTCTTCTTTAAGAGGCTCCTCTGTCCTCCACTGGTTACATGTATTAATGGCATCTGTTTGAACTCGTTATCAGTATAAAAGACACCTGTCCACAACCTCCAACAGTCACACTCCAAACTCCACCATGGCCAAGACCAAAGAGCTGTCAAAGGACACCAGAAACAAAATTATAGACTTATGAAGTATTGTAATTTGTTGAGATAGTGAATTGGTGGGTTTTTGTTAAATGTGAGCCAAAATCATCACAATTAAAAGAACCAAAGACTTAAACTACTTCAGTCTGTGTGCACTGAATTTATTTAATACACAAGTTTCACAATTTGAGTTGAATTACCGAAATAAATTAACTTTTCCACGACATTCTAATTTATTGAGATGCACCTGTGTATATACACATACTACAGTGAAATAGCCTAATTGAGATTTTGGGGTCATTCATGTTCTGTTGTAGTAATTTGAGTAGAATAATGTCACCTCACTGTACCTGAAAATATTTCTTTTTGCATTCTGTCCCAGTACCCACAGATCGATGACGTTTTTCCTGTATTTGGCTTAAGTGTTCAAGTGGGTGTGAAGACCACAAATCGGTAAAGATGCAAGTTAAGTTTTTAAATAGCTTTATTTGCACATTCTGTACATTCAGTACTTTGCATTTTAAAATATACTTATACATTTCTGTTCAGTAGTGCCTATGAATGACAGTTGTGCTAATTACAGTTTTTCTGAATTGCTAAAACACTAAACCCCAATCTCTGAACCAAATTCTCACTAGCTTAAACCAATTTGTCGAATAAACCTTAAACACGTTCAGGCAGTTAGGCTCTATTTGCAAATCCCATGCACTCTTTTTGCAAAGCTCTAAGCACACTCTCATTCACTTTAAACATTTATCACACTGTGATGCATTTGTGCTGCAATATGCTAAACACAAGCGGCAAATGTTAAACACAACTAAAGCACAGTTGTCATCGTTTACACACAACGATTCAAAATTGTTCACACTTGTTTCTAATGATGTGATCAAACTAACTGTACAAAATATGAGCCAGTTCAGAGTGCACAAGTGGCACAGGTGACTGAATGATGATACGAACAATAGATGGAAACAATCTGAGGAGAAGAGGAAGTGTACATGTAAGAAGTGGAGGATGAGGAGGAAGAGGATGAGTAGAGAAAGTTGCAAAACTCTAAGCACACTCTCATTCACTTTAAACATTTATCACACTGTGATGCATTTGTGCTGCAATATGCTAAACACAAGCGGCAAATGTTAAACACAACTAAAGCACAGTTGTCATCGTTTACACACAACGATTCAAAATTGTTCACACTTGTTTCTAATGATGTGATCAAACTAACTGTACAAAATATGAGCCAGTTCAGAGTGCACAAGTGGCACAGGTGACTGAATGATGATACGAACAATAGATGGAAACAATCTGAGGAGAAGAGGAAGTGTACATGTAAGAAGTGGAGGATGAGGAGGAAGAGGATGAGTAGAGAAAGAGTAAGGCTTACTGTAAAGAATGTTATCAAGGCTGGATCTGTCAGACCAGAGGGTTTTTTCTCTTTGTCTAGCAAAAAAGACAACATTACTTGTGATGTGGACAAAGACCTCAGGCCGGACTCAAGCACAAAGACATGATGCTGAGACAGAATGAATCTCTCATTGACCCTGATTTTACAATTGCACAACTTACAGTATTTGAGTGTACTGTAACATGCTTTTCATTTAGAGTTTTATTTGACCTTTTTGGCCTTTGCAGTTGTACTGCAGTATCCAAGTGCTGAATATATACAAACATTCAGTACTATTCAATATTCAGCACAATACTATTCTTGCAGTACATACAGTTGACCTATACAATATATTCACCTTACTCAGTTGCAATTACTATACTTTTTTACAGAATTGCAAAATTGTTTACTCAATAAATTTTTTTCTGTAATGTTCTGGATGATGTTTTCTCCATTTTTTCTCTGTAGTGTCTAATGAATGCTCTGTAGTGTTTATCTTATTGACTCATGTGTGTGTGATCTGAGAGCACTGTTTGATTTTGAGTGCAAGTGAAATGGTTATGCAGTGATTGTTTGATTTTGATGGAAGAGTCAGAGGTTTCGTGAATTTAGTTTGAGTATTTGGATTTTGCGTTTAAGGTTTTGAGAAAATGAGTGATGGTTTCAAGAAATGTGTTTTAGCAATTCTGAAAAGTTGTAAGTGATCAAAATCTGTTGCAAACGTTTTACAAATTACACATATTTGTACCAATAAAATGTGCAACACTTACCGTTTTACAGAAATTATATGTGATATCTCATTAAATTAACTTAAACTTACGCTAATCGATCTATTGTGAACGAGCGTACGACAGTTAGCGGAAGCTAGAGATTACAGTTTATAAAGTTTTAAATATGGATACTTTTCTAACAAAAACACATCACATCTGTTTGCTTCAGGAGGTCTTTATTCACCCCCATGAGCCATATGGGGCACTTTTTATGATGGATAGACGCAGTTTATTGGACTTCTATTGGGCTATTGAATAATACCACCCATTCACTGCCATTATAAAGCTTGGAAGAGCCAGGACATTTTTTAATACAACTCCGATTGTATTCGTCTGAAAGAAGAAAGTCATATACACCTAGGATGGCTTGAGGGTGATTAAATCATGGGGTAATTTTCATTTTTGGATCATTGGATCATTTTTGTGAACTATCCCTTTAACGTTCTAACCCCCACTTTTAACCCCGGGAGAAGGTAAAGGTAAATTCACCCTTCAACCCAGCTTTTAACCCCAGGTAAAGGTTTCACACTTGTAATTTAGTGGCAGGGTTAGCAATGCTTTTTAACCCAGGGTTATGAAACCCTGCTTTTGTGCTGTTAACCCCGCATTGCACTGCCAAACGTGTACAGTGTTAAATGATGCGGTGCCTCAAATTGACATGCGGTCAAGTGAGTGAATTTTAGTGAAGAAGAGACTGTTTTATTGTTTCCTTTGTAGTCTGAAAAGTCCATTCAGAAAAAAAATGTTAGTACATGGTAATTTATAGTATGAGGATGCACAATGCTAGAGACAGGTTGTGTGCTGTATTCGTCCAATCAATGCAAATAAGAACATTCTATGCTTCATGGTTGTGCATTATATATAATGATACTGTGAGTTTGGGGGTTTTCTAAAACCCAACGTGGCTGGCAGGGGGTTAGTGGTGAGGGTTAGAAAGAGAGAGTGAGAGAAAGCGTATAACTGTCTCGCCGTTATAGCTGGGGGGGTGGATTGGCTAAAGCTTCATCCGACCTCATTGCAGGAGTCAAACATCAGTCTTTGTTTTACCTCGACAATGTCTAGCTACCTGAGTAGAAAGAGTTTGTGAGACAGACACTTTAATGTAGTAGGCTCTCACATTTCTAATTTTGTAACATATATTTTAGTGTGAGCTAAAGAGAAAGCATTTGGGCAATTAAAAGAAAAACAGTGTGATAAAGTTTATGACTCTGGGTGAGTGTGTGGAGAGAGAGACAGGAAACTCCTGACCACTCCAACTGACCCTGAGGAATGTCAGATTCCCATACAGACCCATTCAACATCACATGCCAACAGCTAATGGGCCAGGTCACATTTCACCCGAAAATTTAAAGAAAAAGATATTGTTTGCATAAGAGTGTTTGCATCTCTTAAGCACAAACTCACACATTCAGAAGTCGTCCAAGAGTCATGGTGTAGGGGGTAATCTAGAATAATCCTGCTTTATTGGCTGTTACCACTGTGACGCAGGTCTGCTCCCCCTGATAGATTCTGGGTGACATCTAGCCTGACCTGACATTACGGCCAGTCATTTATACACACAAAGTTACCAACTAGTCATTCTTATACAGACACACATACACACAGTTACACACGTCTGTCTCACTCCCTCACAAACACACGTTTGCATAGCCATCTAAACAGGGAGTTCATTTTCCCTTAAATTAGTCTAATTACAATTACTACAGTCTACAGACTAACCCTAACACACAATCCAAACCCTAAAATAAAACCTGCAGCACTTTTAGAAGCGAATAAAGACGTTAGAGTCTTTATGAAGCATTTTTCTTTTAAGGATGTCCACTTAGGACATGAGATATGCCATAGCTATATCATTTTTCTGCTAAATTTTCCCTGAAATATAGCATGGTTTTATCTTTTCTTTCTATAACTCATGCACACGTCTTGTTTAATGTGCCTCAGATACCGAGACCTTTTTACTCACCTTTATAAAGGTACAATTCAATTTACAAGCATGATGTCTTTCTCTAGAGGGCAGCATTGATATTCAGTGTTATCTATAAAGGCAGGAAGGTTGTTTAATTAGTCAATTTTAATTGATTAATTTATTATGTATGTTACTATACCTTCACGCTAATTACCTTTAGAAATGTTGCCATTTTTGGCTCATATACCAAGTAGAATTAAAAAAATTTTTTTAGTCATGTATCAATACAGCTGTTTCTTTGTGCCGTAGAAACAGAATAAATACATTAAAAAAAAAATATATATATATATATATATAAGCTATACTTTTGCTTATTATAAATGTTCCTGTCCTGTTTTAACAGGTCGGTAAATGGGTATAACTGTGTATAATATTACTGTAGGTGAGGATTGTCTGGATTGGTGCGCGCAGCTATCACTCAAATTCTCCGTCACTCCTGCTTTAGTTTGCGGGTTAATCTCTATGCATCCTCACTGTGTGCAACCGAGATGACATGAGCAACCGGCAGTTACACAGAGCAACAGCTGACAATGTGATCATACAAGTACGTCTTCCATTTACGTATTATCGATTATGCGCACCAATATTCTTTAGTGCGCACTTTAACATGATTTGCATATTACTGGTTGACTTATTTACGCATATTACTGGTTGACTTATTTACATATTATTTTTTTACAGAATAAAAACAACAACAACATGTAAAAACTCGAAGCTTCCAACTTTCGTTTTGTTTGAGGAGAGGGACGGGGTCTTCTGCTATTTGACATTCGTATTCTTGGAAAGACGTGCCCTTTTTTGTCAGACGCGAAAACTCCTCGCAATCATGCAGCAATCATTTTGATCATCACGGCCCCACCGAGAGCCGTGAGAACCCACGTTCACCGCACTCGCCACGAACTTCAGCTCTCTGAGCAAACGCGACATCTGGAGAGCTTTTACGCACAGAGGTGAGGCGCAGAGGCGACACGCTGCATGCAACACGAATGCATAGACGTGCATAAAAACTCTCACCCGACTAAAAATACTTTTTCTAGAATTATTTAATGAAATTGTAATATTTTCTTCGCGCATCCGCTCCTCGTTTCGTGTGATACGGCCGAAACGACCTGATTGTAGGACTATATAACAAACCAATCTGTAATCACTCGCCATGGAAGTGAATCTAAGTAACTTGAGCGTGCTGAACTGGGAGCAGGTGAAGCGTCTGGATGTCATCCTCACCGAATCCATCCCCATTCACGGCAAATGGAACTTCCCCACTTTGGAGATGAAACCTCGTGATATCGTCAAAGTCGTGCGGTGTCGCATGGAAGAGCGCAAGATTCACGTCCGAGAGGTCCGACTGAACGGTTCCGCGGCCAGTCACGTTCTCCACGAGGACAGCGGTTTGGGCTACAAGGACCTGGACCTCATATTTTGCGCGGAAATGAAAGGAGAAGTGGAGTTTCAGACCGTCAAGGATATCGTTCTCGACTCCCTCCTGGATTTCCTGCCTGAAGGAGTGAATAAAGAGAAAATCACCCCAGTTACATTAAAGGTAAGCATTTAGTGACCGTATTATTTGTAAATTATTGTATTTGTTTTAATTGTGTTGTAACCCGGTGCCCTACTTAGTTTAAACCAGCATAAACTGGTCTTTTTATTTATTTATTTTTTACATGGGGGTTTTGGCTACATCTCAGCCTGGAGACCAGCTTTAAAGTTCAGCAAACCTGCTTAGTCTGGTTTAAGATGTTTTTAAGCAAGTTAGCTAAAAATCCTGGCTAGTAATCGAAAAACTGTGGGTTCAAACCTTGCAGGAGTTGATTCATCACCCTCCAGCAAAGCACTTAACCTCAGGTTACTCCATCAGGACTGTCCTTAATTTAAGTGTACTGTCAGTTTGGATAAGGATGAGAGAGATTCAGCTAAATAACCACTTAGTAACAGATATAATTTATATGTTTAATGTGTTTAATAAAGGGGAAGGGCACGACATGCTATAATTTGACACTGACTGGACCTAGACATGTCGGCATATATTACATTTAAGCTGCAATAAGATAAGGACACTGGTAGTAAAAATGCTGGTTTCTACTACAAAGAGGATTTGTCTAAACCAATTTACGATGGATCCGCTTTCTCCTCTCTCTACTTAGTGTATGCAAAGGCAGATAGCCTTTTCATGTATGCAAATTAGGCAGATATAATTTAAAGCAATAGCATTGTGATGGAATGCCTTTACTAGATATGCAAAGACACTTTATAATAACAAAATTATCAACTGTAGTCTTCTGCTACTGAGAGTATGCTTATTGCAGACATATATAATTTTTTTCTTGCACACATTTCAAAAATACAGAGGGGAATGATTTCAAGAATTATTTATTTGTCTGCTTAAACATTTCACATTGCACCCACAAACCCTTTTGTGCATCTCCATCTTTTAACATATTCATATTTTAACAATTTTCATTGAACAAATCTTCACGCTAACATTGTCCTCCAAAAAAACTTTTTTCTCTTTCCTCAGGAGGCTTATGTGCAGAAGATGGTGAAAGTGTGTAATGATTCAGACCGTTGGAGTCTAATCTCCCTCTCCAACAACAGCGGGAAGAACGTTGAACTGAAGTTTGTGGATTCCCTGCGGCGTCAATTTGAGTTCAGCGTTGACTCTTTTCAGATCCGTCTGGACTCCCTCCTCCTCTTCTACGAGTTCTCTGAAAACCCCATGGCTGAGACATTCCACCCCTCCATCGTGGGAGAGAGCGTTTACGGAGACTTCAATGTAGCCTTGGACCACCTGCAGCGGAAACTAATCTGCACGCGAAATCCAGAAGAGATCCGGGGCGGCGGCTTGCTGAAGTACTGCCACCTGTTGGTGCGAGGTTTCTGTGCGGCTTCGGAAGTCGAGATGAAGCTTCTCGAACGCTACATGTGTTCCCGGTTCTTCATCGACTTCTCAGATGTGGCAGAACAAAGGCGCAAATTAGAGTCATATCTGCAGAATCACTTTGTGGGATTAGAGGACCGGAAGTACGAGTACCTGACCATGCTGTACAGTGTAGTCAATGAAAGTACAGTATGCTTGATGGGACATGAAAGGCGACAGACTCTGAGCCTCATCACCATGTTGGCAGTACGTGTTCTGGCAGAGCAGAATGTAATTCCCAATGTGGCTAACGTCACTTGCTATTACCAGCCTGCACCGTACATTGCGGATGGCAACTTTAGCAATTACTACATTGCTCAGGTGCAGCCAGTCTATGCCTGGCAGCCCACCCACACATTCTCACCATGGTTGCCCTGCAACTGATAGACTGTTAACTCACATTTTGCCCAACATGTCTAATTAGAGCACTCGCCCAATGAGACCAGTTGGCAAGTCTGTATTTGTGTGCTCTACAACATGAGGAAAATCCAAGACTTTCCCGATTGACTGTTGCCTGCTTGCTGCAAGGAGAAGCTATGAGCGCGCCGGATGAGAGAAAGGGTAAAAACTTGTATTTGTTCCAATCGGGCAGCACGTTCTACCTAGGCTTTCCATCTGCCAGACCTACAGAAGCACAACACTGGCTGAGAGGAAACACCATGGAAACTCTATGAAGAGCATCTGAGTAATACAGACACAAAAGGGATTATCTTTGTGTTTGTGTACATATGTGTGTAATAGACATACTTGAAGAATCAAAGGTATACCGCATAATGTGTTGAAAGGGCAGACAGATTAGCAAGATAACTTTTTTGATGCTCGTTACTCATGCTATCAGACTAAAATCAATGGACACTTTTTTCAAGCCAAGGATATTCTCATAGACACCAGATACCCAAAACAGATTATCAGTTAAGTGCCTTAAACTGAAAAATTAAAGTCACTCTGTGAATGACCCCGAAGTATGTGTCACGACATGTTTTTGGAGACACATATGAGTGAAGGTAGTGTAAAATAGCAAATGGATGATAAATTTTGAAGGCCACTTGATCATGAACTTCCAACAGATAGTTGTAAGACCTATTTATTATAATTTATTAATTTGGGGGGTCCATATGAAATAGTTGCATAAGAGCCATTTTTCCATCCGAGGCACTGGCAAGATTTGTATATCTGTGTGTAAGACTGTACATGAGAGTTTTCCCACAGCTTCTTGTCTCATCTAAACTGACCTCAATGTACTGTTGGCTCAGTGCTGGCTTAGCTCAGATTAAAATGTCCAGGGCAATGCCATTACATCTAAGGCAGAGAAGTAAAACAGGTTGCGGCTGAACAGGAAGAAAATTTATAGTTGGTTAAGTCCAAATTGTTGTTGTTATATCTAGGTTACCTGGCGTTTTTCTGATGGCCTAATTATTACACAGCCACCAAATCCAGAGATTATACCTTTTACACTTCTGACCTGCATAACCTGGGGGATGAAGACCAACAGAGACACAGCAGTAAGAGGCAGAAGCTCATTTAAGGGAACCAGAACATATACCAAAGATATTCTTGATATTCCTCAAGATTGTGAAGCAACAATACTTGACGTAAAAGCATCTACATGCTGTTGGAACTTAATGCAACACAATCCCCCACTTGAATTATACCATGAAGTCTGAAACTGAGTGCTCTGACATATGTTAAGGCCCTGTCCCCAATGCTCCCAAGTCCACACTTTGGCGATGCAATGCTGCATAGCCTGTCCAGTAGATAGTCCTAGGGTGCAGAGAGGGCAAAAGGGGGACATTAGGGGCACTTAGGTGCACCCTTCAGAATCCTAAAAAATGGGACACCCTACGGTCACATGCATGCAATGGCCGTATGTTAAGACCCTGTCCCAAATGCTCCCCTAAGGTTTTGTGGTCCTCAGCCAAGTCTACACTTCAGTGATGCAATGCTGCATAGATTGTCCGGTAGTAGTCCAAAGGTGCGGAATGGGCAAAAGGGGGGCACTCAGGAGCACCTTTCAGAAAAAAAAAAAAATGGGACACCCTATGGTCACATGCATGCAATGGCTGTATGTTAAGGCCTTGTTCTAAGTGATGTTTATAAACAAATTTCGGGAGGAGCACGCACAGATAATTAACACGGCCAGTTCATCATTAGTGATTACACCATTTATCCAGTCAGCACAAGAGAAAACTCCTATAAATAACCAAGTACGTCCTACCTTCGACTTTCAGCATCCCTCCGCCACCCTGACCCCGCACCTTCAGCATTCTACCCCAGCACGGGGAGAAGCACTCGGGGGGAGCACTTTTGGGCCGGGCTGGACATCGAGCTCGGACCCCTCTCCCCGGATGGGGGGGGGGGGGGGGGGGGGTTGGGG